TCTCTCTCGAGAGCTTGTCGTATTTTCTGCCAGAAGACTCCAGTGTGTTGACCAGCCTGTGGCCAGCTCAAGTAAGAGCTCCTCTTCACCAGACTCCTTATTTGGAAGTACGGAGACAGCTGCTTGGCTGGTATGTCCTCCAGAAACACCATGATCAGCACATCCTTGTGCTCATCGAACAGACGGTAGCTAAAGACACCACACACAGATTAATCAGTGTAGAAGCTGGCGATGTCATTACATGTAAGGACAAAGAGTTGGTAACCATACCTGGCCATCTGGATTTCTTTGGAGCACCACTCACTCTGCAGGTAATTTGGGCTGATCACACAGATAGTCTTTCTGCTGCTATAGATGGCATCTGTAATGTTTTCTACAATGGGCTTACCTGTAAAAACAGAAATCTGAGACGTTAAACAAAAATCTCACACATCAAACATGTCAGCATTTTTCTAGTTTTAACATTTACTACTTAAAACAGCACTGGTGAATAACATAAAATGTATGTCTGTGAAGGTTCTCAGTCATCCAGGTCATTGTAGTCTATTGTTTCCAAGCTCCTTAGACAACATAAAATGTAGCCTTTTCTATGAGTTAAAACATTTCAAAGGTATTCTCACTTTTGAGAAGAGCAGGATCTACAGTAGTGTCTAAATTTCAGTCACAGCCTTTGGTGGGACTTTTTGTGTAATGGACAAGCAAAGCACAATTCAATAAGCTTCTGGGGTAATAACTGGTGCTGACTCAGACTTTAATTTTAATATTTTCTGTAATTCAATATTTTCTGGGATTCAGATGTTTTTGTACGTCTATATTCTTTTATGTGAAACCCAATTTCATGATTTCAGGAAAAAACTGGACCAATCTTAACTGTATATTTTCCAGAGTAAATCTTTCATTTTCCTACATGTAGGATGCTTTGAAAGTTGAGCAGCACATCTAAAGTCTACTTTTAGAGGTTTAAAGATCAATTTGTAGCTCTTGTCCAGATAGTAAGTCTTAAAATATCTAGATCTAGCACTCAAACTTCGTTTTGTGGGTCACGTGGGATTGGTATTCTTGTTTGACATCATATCAGCCATTTATATTTGTGTAAAGATATTGTATTAAAATTTTGAACAAAACAAAACAAAAAACAGTCGTGTAAACCCCGATCTTTGTCAGTACAAGTTTAAGGAAAGCTGAGGCAGTTTGTGTGGTAGCTTCATTAAATATAGATCTAAAAATAGAAAAAAAAGAGGCTAATGATAATCATATATACCTGGTTCAAAGTCTCTGTGGTGCAGACAGAGTCTCCAGCCCTGTTGACCCTCCAGCTCTGGAAGCAACTCTCCACAGACCCAAGCTTCATCATGAACATTGTAGGAGACAAAGGCATCGTAGCTGTGAGGAATACCTTTCTTCCTCCTCTTATT